GACGGGAATACGTAGGCATAGAACGGTTGTGTTCTGCCGAGTCACTTCTTTCCTTTTCTTTTTGTCCCTTGACCCGTAGAGTAGATAGCATACAATCCCTTAGACAGAAAACAAGCGTGGATCCCGTCTAGTACGACGGACGTGAGGGGTGCTAATACCTTCCCCTTGCGTAACCGACTCCCGAATCCAGGAATTTGGTTGCGACGACCATTCCTTTCCCGTTTTGCGTTAGGTTTACTCTGAGCGTTTCCTTTCCCTCCTATGGGATAAATAACGCACGGTGGCGACTCTTCTGTCATAGCCGGCGTCGATTTTTGCAGTAGCGACATATAGCTTCTCATCGTCCTTGTGTAAGCTTGCTCTAACACCACAACAAGCCTGAAATCCTATAAAAACTTACATCATCAGGGGTTGTCATATATTATACTTTTATCAAGTACAGTTTCCCCCCTGTAGGAAATCGATAAAACTAACCTCGGTCATACTCTTCATCATTCACTACATGTTTTCGTCGTCTTCACCTGGAGGATGGCAAAACAAAATTTCAAGATTACTTTCAGCACCATATTTGGAGGTTTTCTCGATGAGGGGAATCCATTTCATCCTATAGAAAATATGCAGGCAAGTTTTGACCACGAGCGTCATACTAGCCGATCCTAGGTTAAACCTATAGAATGAGCCAGAGTTAAGAATCATCTTTTCGGTAAATACACCATTGATGTTCTCCATCATAATGATTCCATGGTCATCACAATACAATATGATGATTGGGATATGAAGTGAGTATTGATTGAACCTTGAAGCTCGACAAACATATTATTCTTGAGCGACTTTCAAGTGAACGTGTATAGGTGAAAGGTCACATAACGCTCAAAACAACATTTGATTTAGAGGCAAGCGCATAAATGACAAAAATAAAATACTCTCTAGTAGATTCCTTGTCCCTATACAACACCATCCATGGGCGTCCCTCCGTCATCTTGTTGGGGATGGTCTTGTCCATCCTTAATTTGAGCATGATGTACCTGCTACCTGGCGGACGAGTTGGACTAGTTCAAGAATACCAGGAATTCGATGGAAACCTTTTGATAGATACGAATTCAATATCTAACTCATCTTGTAAACTCGTGATTAACACTGTAAGATTCATACTCTCAACTTAGAAACATAAATATTTGTCTATTAAAATTAATTTGGTCAACTATTCTAGTCTATTGCTTCACTTTTTTCATGTCTCTGTCGGGTATCATATTTAAACTTGATATCTTTTCAATTAAGGTTTATGAGAATGAAATGAGGATGAGATAAAAATTATCTAGGTAAATGTGATAGGTTTTATAGAGAAGAATGGGGTTAGGAATAAAAAATTTGAAGACTCTCAACAAATCTCTCATTCGTAAATAGGTTTGGAAAATTAGAGTCCTGAGGGTTGGTATTTGATATAGAGGTTTGGCTAGAATATATTGAGAGAGTATTTGTGTCTTAAGTGAAGGAGGTAGAGATATATCATCACGGTGGAGTGTGATTTTTCAGTTATATATAGGTGACTAGGCTAATTCAAATGAGTATTCAGTTGAAGCGTGTTACAAACAACTAATACTGGAGAATAGTATCAGGTCTAATTTGTTTTGGTCAAAAGCTTATCTAGCGTAGAGAATAGTTCATAATAGATTAGTAATGCAATTTATTTAGAAGACGTACCATTGGTCAGAGGTCCCTTCAATGTGGTGGAAATTGTGGCTATGAAGAATTAGTTTCTCACCTTTTTTTTTAGCGTTTGATATTTGCAGGTATTTGGTACTTTATTAGTAATTGATTTAGAATTTCTTTGGTATTTCAAAAGGAATGATTGGCGCGTCTAGAGCAATTTGAAGAGTTATTCGAAAGTGGAAGAGATTTTTCCAAAAAGTAAGTGTTGTAAAGTTTACATGTATTACAATGTTCCATATGGCACTTAAGTATGTCGTACCTTATGGTGTACCACATTTCTATAATTAACGTTAATCTATTGCAAGACCGTACAATAGAATAAGATTTACTTATTTATTGTTCCTCGTCAACTTATTCTAATTTGTGTGACCCTGTAGGTTCTCGTGACATTGACAATTATATCAAACTACACATTTAATATAATAAATAGTGACTGATATCTAACAACACATCACTGTTACCCAAGTCAAAAATAAATCATATGATCTAACAAAATCATTTTCTGATAATGTTTATGTGTATGATTACCCTTTTGTTCTCATGTCTATATTGAGCATAAAGCATATACCGTGTCACCCTTGTCCAAATCAATATTGGACCCTTAGGCATTTATTCTGTCATGCATGATGGACAAATTTTATCTTGATCACTCATGTTTCTCAGCATAATTTGAGGAGTACCCATCAACCATCTTTATGTTATCTTATTACGTGCAATTGTTTATCGGTAATAAAGTACTAGACTCCACATCTAGGATCCATAGTAGTTTCATATCAAAGGGTGGTATGCACTACTATCACCTTGATAATAACTTATGACAGTTGCATAAAATTCTAAAAAATATACTAATTATAGGTCAATCCAGTATAAATATTATTTCTAATATATATACCTATGTGAATATTTTGCAACTCTTTATCCATAGCTCATGAGACGTGATCATCATATTATCCATGCAATAGTTTAAATGCTTTAATGTTATTCAACTTTACAATAAATCTTGACTATGAATACTTTTATAACAGAGTCATTATGCTTAATGGGATCTCACGATAAAGTCACACTTAATGCTTCCCCAAAGGTACTAGATATTCTAGGAACTTTATTACTTTAGAAAAACAAACATAATAAAGAAATAATTTGTTATTATTATTAATTTGATACAAGTACCAAGTTCTAATAAAACTATTGGCGTCTAGGGCTTACACAAACACTACAACCATATATATTTTTGTAAAGATGACTTGGTGCAGATTTTTCGATTAGATTTTGAACTATCTAACACTAGAAAGGAGATCTACATGATTTTGAAGTCAAGTCGTGTGTGAAAGGCAAAAAGGTTTATATGCGGCGACATCAGGGGGTAGATGATGACTATTTTTACTTCTATACTGAGGTTATTCTTGATTTTAGGGTGATCATTCTTTTTACCATATTTCAGGACAATATCCTAAGGATAGTCGACGTTGCCCCTTCTGAGATGCATCCGAACAATTGAGCCTTTGTTAGATGATTTGAGATTCTCTATTGGGGCCTTGACATTATGCCTACAAAATTTATTTTCTTCTCTTCTTTTAGACGAAAGGTAGTGGATAGGTTTCTCTAAGTGTTCATCCCTATAAGAGATTTTCTTTATCTCTATACTCCAAATTAGAAGCATTGGATAGATAATTTATATGGGTTAAGGGTAGTCTACATTACCCAAAGGTCGTGTACAAAGAGGATGGTTCATATATTTTTTCTTCTACTTGACAACAGATTGACCCTAACGTTCTCCTCTCAGGGTATATAGATCACTTCAAAAAACTTAAAAAAAGTTAGCCATCTCACAATGCTTCATTAAGTATTTTAATATCTAGACTCTTTTGTCTATCTCACTATGCTTCATTAAGTATTTTAATATCTAGACTCTTTTGTCTGATTGTCACCCTTAATTTGATTGGTGACTAGTTGGGAGTCACTTCTTCCTCATAGACATGTTGCCCTTATTACTTTTGTCAATTTATTAGTGCAAACAGTGCTTCGTATTTTACTTGATTATTATTGACTTTGAAACTAAAACATGAAGATTGTTCGATTAATGTCTCACTTGATCCAGGGGCCTCCTCTTTTTTCAATGAATTAAACTCTACTAAATTTGCAATATACATTAAATATAAGTTTATTTAAAATATTTTTAATTTATTACAAAAAAAGTTAAATTATTAAATATACTATAAAAAATGAAAAAATAATACTAAAATAAGTAAAATTTATTAATTGGGTTGATATATTTAAAAAGGAATAAAAGTAGTATATCAAAACAATCATTAAATTTTGTAACTTTTTGTATTATTATCATTTTAATAATGATTTTAATTACTTTTTTTTTCTTTTTATGTATTTTTCTCTTCATCAAATAATTAGGCATTTATTTAAAATTTTATAATTTATGGTATTTACAATTTTATAAATAATAAATAATTAAGAATAATTTATTTTACAAATATAACATAAAATTAAAAAAACAATTATAAATCTATAATACGGACACCCAGTTTTAAAATAACATTTTTCATGTTTTAGAAAGAGTTTGGTAAATTAACAGAATGATTCAAGTTTTAAAAAGTTGGATATTGAATCCAAAAGTGACATGTATAATAAGACGAAAAGAGCGATAAAAAAGAGAAAATGCATTTTTACCCGTTTGACAAAGCTCTGTCCACATTAAAGTACAGGACAATACACAATGCAGAATAATTTCAAACTGTTGAAAGAAAATTTACCGAAATAAAGCTTACGTTTGTAGCTAATAGATTATCAAATCATTTTAAAATTATTTTAAATAACCATCATAGTTATCTACATAAAGAAGAAAAAAAAAACTCGCTGAGACTCGAGTGGAAACTTTATCGACATTGACTTCGGAACCCAAATATTATTAATTGCAACAGCAACATGAACTTTCCCGCCCAACAAGCCCGCCACAGTAAAATGTAAAAAATATGATTGTTTCTTTTACTTTTGTTTATGTTTGGTTTCAAAATGAAAATGCCATTTTCATATCTTGAATTAACCAAAAACATTTCCATCCCAATCCTGATTCTTGACATACCAACAAAAATGCTTATATAAGCCTTTCCCAAAAATGGAAATGTTGTGGAGAATTGTATTTTTCTTCGGTGATTATTAATTTAAGCAAATAAAAACCACAAGAAAAAATAAGTTTATAGTCCAGAGGGAGAGGGATTAACACGGTTGAGGACTTATATATATCCCAACCTCCCAGAATCTTTTTCTTTTTCTACCCATCACCAGTGCTGCCTTCCGTGAGAACTGCCACCACCTCTGTTCTTTGCAAAGAAACCATTCTTTGCTTTTGACTTAGGTAACTCGTGTATGTCCATCACCTGAATAGTTCTTTGCTTTTTCGCTATAAACAAATAAACAAATGTTTTAGATAGTATACTGAGAAAAAACTAGCATGAAAATGAAATATATAGAAACAAAAAATTCAACCATTTTCAGCCTCTTTATAGTTCTCTTGAAGCCGTTTTCTTGCAGATGCAAGCCTTTCAGCATCAAAATTGCTCTCTCTTTGTTCTCTCTGTCTCTGCAATCATTCAGCATTATTATCTCAGTATCACTTCATTTGACACTAGAGACATGACACTAACATCCCAACAACAAATTTTCATAACCCTACATTTTGAGTAGTGGGAGCGCTAACTGGGGGTGATGGCCTTAGTTTTGGAGGTGGTTCTTTGCGAGGAAGAATTGGTTTTTGTTTAGGTTTTGGTTCTAGTTCGGATGTGTTACGGTCAGAACCAGAGCTTCCATCTGTTTCAGCAGCAAAAAGAATACTAGTATCAAACAAATTCAAACAAAAGGTATCATCGAGAAGAAGAATATTTGAATCAGATGCTATTCTCACTCTGTGGATTTGGTGAGTATGCAAAATCAGGAATCTGCATAAAGGAATAAAACACAACATTAGCAACCCAAGAACAAAGCTTCTTTAGAAAAAGTAATAAGAATAAAAGATTTCTTTGACCTGATGATGATGCCCATTTGGGGTGGTTTTCTGCAGAGGAGAGTCACCATCAGCTGCAAATGTTTTAATACTATTAATTACCCCATTAACACGAATTTCACAAGAATATTCCAAACCCTTTTAATTTCTACTTTTCAACTCTTTCACAAATACTCCAAAAAATACTAAGATTACCCATGACAGTGTTTTTTCCTCCTTGTGGATTCAACTTCACCCATTCATCAACAATTTCTTTCCACTTCCTGCTTGTAACACAAGCAACATTACAAACTCAATAAATGCTCAGAAAAAACAACATTAAGTATTCAAAAAATTTCAAAAATTGTCTCTTCCATTACTTGACAAGCAGCTTCACCAATCTGCGAACCTCGCTAGATGGATGTTTCCTTAACTGATTCACATTCCTCCCAATGTCAGTCTCCTGAAGGAACCAAAAACAAACCATCAACAAAACAATTCCCAAGCAAATGAGATTGAAAATTAAATAACAATTTCAAAGAAAAATAAAAAATTAATTATTACCTTCAACTCTTGGAATGTAATATCAATATCCACCAGATTTTGCAGTAACTCCAACAAAGAATCTTCAGGCTGAAAATTATAAATCAAATTAAATAAATAAAAAATTCAGAAGCTGACGTTCTTCATTCATTTCAAATAATTGCTAATTAAAAAACCATCAATAAAAAAACCTGTGTGGAATCTTCAAGCAACTCTTTAATTTCTAGAATCTTCTTCTGTTCATCATCGAACAAGCCACCGTAAGGATCTATCTCCTCATCTTCATCCTCGTCGTTTCCTTGTGACTGCGGCGTCGGAGGAGACGAGCCGCCGCGTCGCTGATTTCGTTCAGGGCTCAAACTAGGGTTACTCTGTTTCCTGATTTGGTTACCGTCAGTCAAAAGGTTTCCCCCATCACAATTCTGACAAAGCGGAGGAGCAGCGGTGGTAGCGTAAAGACGCTCAACGATTCCGTCTCTCCGTTGCTTTAACTCGCCGGCGTTATCCAGAGAAGCGACGGTGATTGCCGTGTCGATAAACAACCACACGTCAACGCCCGCCGTGTCTAATATGGATCGGAAATCGTCCAAATCCATCGCGTGCGTGGATCGGAGAATCCGATTTAGCGACGAAAGATTGAAGATTGAAGATAATAGATGAACTGTTTTTTTCTCTCTCTTTGGTATTCAGTTTGTGAAGTGAAGAAAACGCAAAAGAAACGCGAAAATGGGAAGATTCTATTGTTGAGTTTAAACGTAGCTAGAGATTAGGTATTAGGTTTTCATTCTGATTTAACATGAATAGATCTAAAAGTAAAACGGCAACCGGTGGATTGAAACGACGAGATTGTAAAAAGTGTAGATCTAGCGAGTGGTTTGCGAGATCCAGGGAAGAATTTAGGTTGGTGAAATATGTGAAATGAAATTGAGATTGATCCAACAACACAAGTGGCGTGGTGGTGGTACTAGTGGGTATATTCCAGAAGAAAGAAATGTTATAATTTTATTAATTTATTTATGTTATAATAATTGAATTGGTTAATGGGTGAGGAGGGAAGAGTATAGCCTGTGGTTAGAGAAATACCACCTCCACCCACACAACAAGTTGGTGCGAAGATGTTTTTTGGTTTTTTCTATGTTTGTTTGCTGTGGGCTAAGGGAGGTGAGCGGACAAAAACGGAAGAATTCTTACTTTGCATTACACTACTTTAGGTATGGCTGGGATGCGGTTTTCACGTTTTTATTTTTTTTATTTTTTTTTACTTCTTGAGTTAGTTGATTTAAGAAAAGATAAAATCGAAATAAAATCTGTTCCGCGTGGCCACTACTCAATATACTGGCCATGTGATAAATGCAAGAATATTGAGACGTGTGCTGTGTGTTTAAGATATTGGATTGGAACTACTTATTTCCTTATTTTTCTCTTATTAAAAATTATATTTGAGTAAAGAAAAATAATTAATTATATTTCTAATTTATTCAATATTAAAAATAAATGATGTAATAAATTAAACGTTTAGACTCAAAGGATAAATTTAATTTTTGATGGAAACAATATTTAGTTAGGCCTATGATAGTAATGTCAGATTTTAAACTATTGGAGCTGATTCACATGTGAACCAGATGAGGAAACAAAAAAGATAAATAAATAAGTGATGTAATTAATCAATTCACGTTTATTAAATAATTGTAGTATTAACTAAAGATGGATAATAGTATTTTTATTCGGCTACTCTCCCTCTTCATTATTATAATTGTTTTTCGAAAAATCAATATATTTATATCTATTGATTATTTAACAAATATTTATGAGTCATATTAACAATTGTCATACGACTATTCTTTAAGAATTTCAAATTAAAAATAATATTGTATTGAATACAAATCTTTTACAAAAACATACATTTTATTTTTTCAATTTTCAATGCATTGGAAATATGTATTTTCGAACAAAAACATATATTTTTAGAGTTTTAACTAGTAGCCCAAGGACCCTTGTTAACATTTTCCAATATTTATATTTGTTTATAATATTGATTAGAATGAATACAATATGGACATCATCAACTCTTATTTTGTAAGAGATTAATCTCCTACGAATTTTATTAAGACTATTATTAATTTTATGTCATATTTATGCAAATATATAAATTTTGTTTTCATTATGTACTTAAAGAAAATAGATTAGAGGTGGAAGATGGCTTCCCTGTCAAAGTTTTTAATATATATTATAACACTCAAGTAAATATCTGAGAGAGATGAAATTATTGTAAGTGTGAGTAAAAAAATAATATGTGAGCATGACTCAAAGTCACATTTATATAAATAGAAAGGTTAGAATTGCTCTTGCTTGATCCGAGTTGAGTGTGGATGTTTGTTGAATATATTCATCAGTTGAGACGAGGGAGGAGGTTGTGTTCCTACGTGGTATCCAAAAATGAAGGTTTGCATGTGCGTTGGTGAATGGAACATTGCTTGTTAAATGGGCCTATGAGTTGGTTCGGTCTTGATGAACCTTTGGTCAGTCTAAAAAAGTTTTCCCTTATGTCCTTGTTATCAGTTTTGAAGTGAGGAATGTTCAAGTAGGAATTAGTAAGAACAATCTAAGAAGAATCATCATTGAGAGAGTTTGTCCGTTGAGAATATGTCATTGGGGATAGTTGGCATTGAGAACATCTACATTTAATGCTCCTTATTGACACATAATGTTGTTTTATCATAGGCTTCCACATGCACCGATGCACGTAGAGTATAGAGGTGACACATATAGGTGTACTCGAGTGTACTCACTGCGATTATGGATTTGAGATTACATCTTGACCGTTGGATATGATCTTTTATCTTATACTTAGTCGTGGTCGTTGAACTCTGTGCCCTTTGTGTATATAAGTTGAGAACTTAAGCTTCAGTCACACCTTTTCAAATTCATCTCTCTTGAGCGTTATCATAAAAAGAGTTTTCCTAGTGAATTCTTCGACTGTTACTAAAAAAATTGGAGTTTTGGATCGTCCTGCTCGTATCAATTTACACTCATCCCGACTCTTCATAAACTTGTATTTAAAACATAAGGTACTTATTTTCTTCCCATTTTTCTCATATTTGATTTTTTGTTAGTTCTCGGAAATTGTAGAAGTAGAAAACTCAAATTTAAGCATCCATATTGTTAACCTTAGTAATGACATATAGTTTAGTGACATTGATTCTCAAAATGAACCAGAAATGATTAATCTATGAGATGGGGAGCCTGCCTCCCCCCCCCCCCCCCCCTAATGAGACATGTTGGTGTTTGAGTTTCCTTTGATGAAATTTCAATGATTGACTATATACTTGTGATGAATATCACAGAGGATCATGCGGTGCAAAGTGTCACAAGGAGCTTAAGGTGTATGTCCAAATGTGAAGATACCAAGAATTATATGAGGTTGTGGTTGGAGGAACTATCCATATGTAATACTTACGGTAAGCAATTTTTATATACGAATAGTGAAAAATACATGGGAAGGAAAATGCCACTAACACTTAACCTACATGATGACTCGCCTGAATAACCTTGGGTGTATGACGAGAATTTATCCACTTCATCCCTGTACAACTGTGAAAGTAGTACAATTGTGAAAGTAAAATATAATATAATTACCAATATATGGGTCTGCTCTGTAGTCAGTATTGAAATTTCTCTATTAGTATCATCTTTATTATGATGTCCTGTTTAATTTTAGTCATCTCTAGTTTGATTTGTTGTTATTTCAATTTGTGTGTAATTTGTTTATTTGATTAGAAATGTACCTTAAGTAACTCTCTCATTCAATAAATTAGATTTGAATACATGTCAGTATATTTTTTTTATTTGAGCAAGTTGGTCAATGTCAACATCTTGTGTGTGTCTTGAATCACAAGTTAGAAAACTTAAAACAATGTTTTTTAAGCTTGACTCAAATCAAGCATATAGTTGATTTGAATCAAACACCAATTTGAAATTTGGATTTTGCATCTGTCAAGTTGATTCAAACCAAGTATATGTGTGACTCGAATCAACACTCCTTGAGTCGAATTACAACTTCTTTTGACTCGAATCATGACTATGCACTTTTTTAAATAAAAAACAACCATGATTCGAATGATACTTTTGGCTGGCTCGTATCATGAGTGCAAACCATGATTCAAATCAAAATGAAAACATCTTCATTTTAATACCTTGATTCAAATCATTATTTTTGTTGATTCAAAGTAAAACTTCATAATTTAAATTGAATAATTTGTTTTCCTTCTCACCTATTTGTGCTTAACCTCTAACACATATATGAATCTATTTTGTATATTTCCCAAAGAGACCAAGCTTGTTTTTTCATAAAGGAATCAAGTGAGATCAAACCCATATTTTCAAAAAATTTGAGGAAAAACCCATGAGAATTTTTCCTTTCACAAACATATCACTTCCTTATTTCATCCTTGTGAAAAACTTTCTATAATGTTGATCTAGTGAGATCTAAGTTGTGTTGTGTGAGATTCTTTAGATAACCTTCACACCTTCAACCTTGAACCAAGAAACTATTATTGTGGTGCTCAACTCTAAAGATTGAGTTTGAGTGGTAGATCATAGGTACATTAGGGAAGCTAATATTTTTTGTGTGAAGTTTTAATGTTCGTATCAGGATAAAGAATCTCTTTTGTCTATGGTATTTGGAGATTGACATTCAGCAAAGAGAATAATGTTCTTTTGTCCAATCATTTTTGGGTATAACAAATGCTCAGACAAGAAATTGGTAGGACTGAGTAAAGATCAATGCAGAATGGAAGTTTAGAGTAAAAAAATCGTGTCTAGAAAGATTTTGGGATTAAGATCAAGTGCAGATCTTGAAAGATTTGTTGTTTTAGTGTTCTGTTACAAACAAAAGGAAAAATTAATTTAAACATGTTTTGGCTAAAGCAATTGACTTGTAGTGTTCAACGTTATTTATTATTTGTTTATAACAAAAATAATATTGTATTAATTTTATAAAATAGTGGAAGGCCTACAAATTTTTAATGGTGAAACCATTGAAGAGTGGATTAAGCTCTAGCGATAACGTATGAGGTGAACCACTATAAATATGTTGTGTGCATTTTTCTTTTCCTTATTTCTTTTCCATTTCAGCATATTATTGCATGCCTTAAGTTGTTTGTCATTTTTAGAATATCATGTGATTAAGTTTTACCTTACTTATAACAATTTTTTGTATAAGCTTATGTCTATGATAGATCTAGTTAATAGAATATTCTATCTTACAATTATGTTTGTAAATACTTTTAACCTTAGATTAAATAATAAATTGATTTGAATTCAATTTGAGCCACGTGTGAAAATTGAATTATGTAAGTTGTTATATGGTATGCATATTGTATGCAACCTTCATTTAAGGATATTGTTAGAATGATCTAAAGGGTGAATTCAATATAACTCTCATATTATAAGTCAAGTTGATACATTTCAAAAGTCACCAGATTACTTGTTTGATGTCATTAACTAAATGAGCTAGAGTTATTTGAAGCAATCTAATATTACTAGATTAACAATTAAATAAATCTGACTTAGAATTTCAAAGTGACTTTATCTAATC